TGGATTTTCTTCCCCAATTTTCTTTTGTTATCTTTTGGCTTTTGGGGTGGGGGATTTGTCTTTTAGGTCTCAAACCCCCAAATCACTGAGTGGGGTCTCGGGAAAATGGGAGGGCCGGTGTGGGGCCCACTTTGGGTTAAAAGTTTGTCTGGTGAAAAAAAAAATCCCTTAGTTGTTCCATTAATTTAAAAAAATTTAATCCCAACCCCCGTGATTCCACCAGAAGGCGAAACCCCGCCCAAACGGGGGATCCCATCTCCCCCTGCAGGGGAAAAATTCCCCCCTGACCCCCGGGGGCAAACGGATATTCCCCGGGGTAAATTTCCCATAAATTGTTAAATCCCGTTATATTCGTTTTATCCCAAAAAAGGGTCCAGGTTTTTTAAAAACCCCCCCCATGTATTATACAAGGAGATCATATCCCCCCTTTTTGTATTTAAATGGAGATATATCCCCCCCTTTTGTAATTTTATGGGATCATTTCCCCCCTTTTGTATTTACATGGAGGTATATCCCCCTTTTGTATTAAAACATGGGGATAAATCCCCCCGTATTATACATGGAGCTTTCCCCCCTTTTGTTTTCTTTAATTTGGGTGATCTATCCCCCCTTTTGTATTAAAATTTCATGGAGTTTATATCCCCCCTTTTTTTTATTTTAAAGGAGATCATATCCCCCCCTTTTGTTTTTATACCTTTGGGGATATATCCCCCCTTTTGTATTTACTTTGGGGATCATATCCCCCCATGTTTTATACATGGAGTTTTTAAACCCCCTTAGTATTATCATGGTGATTTTTCCCCCCCCCCCATGTATTATAAAAATGGAGATCATATCCCCCCTTTTGTATTTTACATGGAGATTCCCCCTTTTCCCCCCCTTTTTATTATACATGGAGATCATTTCCCCCCTTTTGGTTTTTTTACATGGAGATGTTAAACCCCCCCTTTTGGGATTATACACGGAGATCGTTTTTCCCCCCTTTTGTATTTTTACAGGAATGTTTCCCCCCCTTTTGTATTTTTACCGGGAATATCTCCCCCCCTTTTGTATTATCATGGAGATATCCCCCCCTTTTGTATTATACATGGAGATTTATATCCCCCCCCTTATGAAATTTTACATGGGATTTCCCCTTTGTATTATACCCGGAGTCATATCCCCTTTTTTATTTACATGGTGATCATATCCCCCCCTTTTGTTTTTATAACGGGGTATTATCCCCCCTTTTTGTTTAATACACGGAGTTTATATCCCCCCAAGTAAAATCATGGAGTATATCCCCCCCTTTTATTATTCACGGGTCTATCCCCCTTTTGGATTATAATTTGGGGTTTTATACCCCCTTTGTTTATAAAGGAGATCATATCCCCCCTTTTGTTTTTTTAAAAGGAGATAAAATCCCCCTTTTTTATTATACATGGAGAAATTTTCCCCCCCTTTTTTATTATACATGGGATTTACCCCCCCCTTTTGTATTATACATGGAGTTTATATCCCCCCCCCCCCCCCTTTTGTATTATAATGGAGATCATATCCCCCCTATATGTATTATACATGGTGATCATATCACCCCTCTTTTGTATATACATGGTGATATATGCCCTTATGTATTATACACGGATTTTTAATACCCCCTATATTGTTTATAAATATATTAAGTTGGGGTCCCAACACTGAGCCTTGGGGTACCCCACTAATCACACTGCCTTGGGGTACCCCACTAATCACACTGAGCCTTGGGGTACCCCACTAATCACACTGAGCCTTGTGGTACCCCACTAACCCTTTCCATACCGGGCACTTTAACACCCCTCCCCCCCCAGGCCATTTTTCATGTCTCAGCGCTCTCACACTTTGAATGACAATTGTGCGATCATACAACATTGTTCCCAAACTAAAAATTTTTGGGGAAATATCTGTACTGTCCTGACATTTGGGGGGATATCTGTACTGTTCTGACATTTGGGGGGATATCTGTACTGTTCTGACATTTGGGGGATATCTGTCCCCGTCCCGACATTTGGGGGGGATATCTGTCCCGTCCCGACATTTGGGGGGATTCCCGTCCCGACATTTGGGGGGGATTCCCGTCCCGAAATTGGGGGGGGGGGGGGGATTCCCGTCCCGTCATTTGACCTCAGGAAATGAGATTGGCTGTCAGTCCTTCAGGATTGATCAATACTCAGATATCTCCCATAGTTTGTGAACTCTATAACTTCCCTTCAGACTAAATCATAAATCCTAATTTGGGTTTTTTCACCCCCAGAAATGGAGCAGAATACATCTCAGCCTAAATTTCTGAAGAACAATTATTTTATTTGTAAACTTTTATAACAGAAACAAAGAAAAACGTTTTATTAAAAAATGTTTGGTCTTTTGAGAAGAAAATGAAGCCATCCAGTGTATACAACTGTCATGTGACCTGCAGTGATTGGTCTCAGCAGGTCACATGGTGATAATAATGTGATAACATCCTTCAACCAGAAAGTGATAATGAGGGAGGAGTCTATTCCCCAATGATGGTGGTATTCAGCATGAGGGAGGAGTCAATACCCCAATAATGGTGATCTTCAGGATGAGGGAGGAGTCACTACCCCCAATGATGGTGGTCTTCAGTATGGGGGAGGAGGCAGTACCCCAATGTCTTCAGGGTGGTGAGGGAGGAGTCAATCAATGATGGTGGTCTTCAGGATGAGGGAGGAGTCAATACCCCAATGATGGTGGTCTTCAGGATGAGGGAGGGAGGAGGGAGGAGTCAATATCCCAATGATGGTGGTCTTCAGGGTCAGGATGAGGGAGGAGTCAATACCCCAATGATGGTGGTTTTTCAGGATCAATCCAGTCATCATCTTGGTGTTCTCCCCCCATCCTCACTCTCTGACTAAGGTCCATGAATAAAGAAATGACCTAGGAGTAGGAGATGGAATTGTAAGCTCCTCAGAGACCAAGCTGCCTGATGTGGGCTGAGTCCTGGTTTGGGGGAACCAATCAGCTCCTGTCTAGTAATCCTCTTTGTCTTTGTATTTTAGTCCATGGCCGGGAGATGAGGAAAACCTCCGAGGATTGTCTCACTTTGTCTCCAGACTGGAAAGTAGAAGATGAGGACATCACACAGTATAGTCCAGGAGAAAACCCGGCTCGCTCCAATATCCATCCGGCACCACCCAGTGTAGATGGACCATCGGATTCCTCGTATCCTGAGGAACCTCAGACTGTGCGGGACCGGGCCGGCCTTCCAACAGGGAAGAGCTTCTCCTGTACTGAATGCGGGAAATGTTTTCCAAAAAATCAACACTTATCATACATCAAGGTCTCACACAGGGGAGAAGCCGTATTCCTGTCCTGAGTGCGGGAAATGTTTCCAATCTAAATCTAAACTTAATGTACATAAAAGATCTCACAGGGGTGAGAAGCCGTATTCCTGTCTGAGTGCGGGAAATGTTTTTTGTATCATACAAAAATCAATACTTATCGTAAATCTAAACTTAAGAAAGTCTCACACGGGGGAGAAGCCGTATTCCTGTTCTGAGTGTGGGAAATGTTTTATAGCAAAATCAACACTTACCGTCCATCAGAGGTCTCACATAGGGGAGAAGCACATTCCTGTCCTGAGTGCGGGAAATGTTTTTCCTATAAGTACGTTCTTTCCAGACATCAGAGATCTCACACGGGGAGAGAAGCCGTATTCTTGTCCTAAGTGCGGAAATGTTTTTCACAGAATTCCTGTCTTCACACACATCAGAGATCTCACACGGGAGAGAAGCCGTATTCCTGTCCTGAGTGCGGAAAATGTTTTTCACGGAAGTCCTATCTTCACTCACATCAGAGGTCTCACACAGGAGAGAAGCCATATTCCTGTCCTTGAGTGTGGGGAAATGCTTTTCCTATAAGTCTTATCTTTCCAGACATCAGAGATCTCACACGGGGGAGAAGCCGTATTCCTGTCCTGAGTGCGGGAAATGTTTTTCAGAGAAGTCCAGTCTTTACTCACATCAAGATCTCACACGGGGAAGAATCCACTTTCCTGTCCTGAGTGCGGGAAATGTTTTTCCTATAAGTCTTATCTTTCCAGACATCAGAGGTTCACACGGGGAAAAGCCGTATTTTTGTCTTGAGTGCGGGAAATGTTTTTCAGAGAAGTCCAGGCTTTCCAGACATCAGAGATCTCACACGGGGGAGAAGATGTATTCCTGTCCTGAGTGCGGGAAATGTTTTTAAACAAAATCGCAGTCTTCACTTACATCAGAGATCTCACACGGGGGAGAAGCCATATTCTTGTCCTGAGTGCGGGAAATGTTTTTCCTATAAGATCTCTCTTTACAAACATCAGAGATCTCACACGGGGGAGAAGCCACTTTCCTGTCCCTGTGAGGGAAATGTCCCTCACTGAAGTCCTGTCTTCCTGTACATCAGGGATTATATTGTGGTAGACAGATCAGACCGGGGTCAGTCTTTATTGGGGGGCGGAATGGGGAAAGATGGGGGGAGGGCTATGGCAGATGGTAAGAAGGTTCCCATGTTACAACCAGTGGAATTGGTACCATTTGTATGAAAATAAAAAATACACAAAATCTGTGTGAACAAGTGTCAGTGTCAGTGAATGAAGGAGATGTCAGTGAATGGCGGAGGTATCAGTGAATGAAGGAGGTGTCAGTGAATGAACAAGGTGTCAGTGAATGAAAGGTGTCAGTGAATGGACGAGGTGTCAGTGAATGAAGGAAGTGGAAGGTGTCAGTCAGTGAATGGAAGTGTTTGTTCCCCAATGCCAGAAGTCTGCCCAGCACAATAGGTGAGTTGGAAGGTTTGGTGAATGAAGAGAACTAGGATTGGATTGGTATTGCTGAATCTTGGCTTCATTCCTCACATGACTGGGCCATTCATATTCCTGGCTAGGTTCTCTTTCGGAGAGATGGGGTCTGTCTGGAATAAAAATAGGAAAGGGGGTGGAGTCTGGAATAGGAAAGGGGGTGGAGTCTGTCTATGTGAGAAGTGATCTCAGCGAGTGTGAGAGGACCTAGTTGATGGGAGAGTGTGATGAGGCTGAAGTATTATGGTTGGAGCTGCACATGGGGGGGCGGTACTACAAAGGTCATCATTGGAGTTTGTTATAAGCCTCCTACTGTTAATGAAGAGGTGGAGACTCAGCTCCTCCCACAGATGGAAAGGGCGGGGACAGTGATAATAATGGGGGATGGTAACTGACTGGAGTAATGGGACTGCAGGAACAGTTAAAGGACAAACATGTATAAACCTACTACAGGACAATTGTATGGTTCAGTTCATAGGGGCCCCAACTAGGAATGATGCTCTGCTGGACCTGTGTCATAGAGGCCCCAACTAAAAATCATGCTCTGCTGGACCTGTGTCATAGAGGCCCCAACTAGGAATGATGCTCTGCTGGACCTGGTCAGAGGCCCCAACTAGGAATGATGCTCTGCTGGACCTGTGTCATAGAGGCCCCAACTAGGAATGATGCTCTGCTGGACGTGTGTCCTAGAGGCCCCAACTAGGAATGATGCTCTGCTGGACCTGGTCATAGAGGCCCCAACTAGGAATGATGCTCTGCTGGACCTTTGTCATAGAGGCCCCAACTAGGAATGATGCTCTGCTGGACGTGTGTCCTAGAGGCCCCAACTAGGAATGATGCTCTGCTGGACCTGGTCATAGAGGACCCAACTAGGAATGATGCTCTGCTGGACCTTTGTCATAGAGGCACCAGCTAGGAATGATGCTCTGCTGCACCTGGTCATAGAGGCCCCAACTAGGAATGATGCTCTGCTGGACCTTTGTCATAGAGGCACCAGCTAGGAATGATGCTCTGCTGGACCTGGTCATAGAGGCCCCAACTAGGAATGATGCTCTGCTGGACCTGTGTCATAGAGGACCCAACTAGGAATGATGCTCTGCTGGACCTGGTCATAGAGGCCCCCAACTAGGAATGATGCTCTGCTGGACCTGGTCATAGAGGCCCCAACTAGGAATGATGCTCTGCTGGACCTGTGTCATAGAGGCCCCAACTAGGTATGATGCTCTGCTGGACCTGCGTCATAGAGGCCCCAACTAGGAATGATGCTCTGCTGGACCTGTCATAGAGGCCCCAACTAGAATGATGCTCTGCTGGACCTGGTCATAGAGGCCCCAACTAGGAATGATGCTCTGCTGGACCTGGTCATAGAGGACCCCAACTAGGAATGATGCTCTGCTGGACCTGTGTCATAGAGGCCCCAACTAGGAATGATGCTCTGCTGGACCTGGTCATAGAGGTCCCAACTAGGAATGATGCTCTGCTGGACCTGGTCATAGAGGCCCCAACTAGGAATGATGCTCTGCTGGACCTGGTCATCTCCAACCATGCAGAGCTTATTACGAATGTCCATATATAGAACATCTGGGTAGCCGTGACCATAACATGATTTCATTGTTAGCTGTAAACAGCGAGCACATACGGGGAAATAAAAACGCTGAACTTTAAGAGAGCTAATTCTCCAAGGCTGAGAGCTGCTCTCCAAGACTTAGACTGGGAGGAATATTGTCATCGATGAACACAACACAGAAATGGGAGTTCTTCACAAAGACTGTATGTGACCACACTGCAGAATATATCCCCGTGGGCACCAAGTATAAAAGGCTACAAATCCAACCTCTGTGTCTTCCGGCCAAAGTGACAAAAGCCATAGATAAGAAGAAAAGAGCTTTTATTCCAGATAACAATGAAGGAACGCCATCATCGTTTACACATTACAGAGAATAGAACAGAAGATGCAGAAAGGAAATAAAGGCACAAAAACTGAACACAAACCACAGAAAGATATCAGGACCACCCCAAAACATTCCTCCAATCTATGAATAGTAGAAAGGTCCGGTCCCAGCATGTAGGCCCTTTACAGAACCATCTAGGGGGGGGGGGACAAAGAGAAGGACAATGTATGACATCCCTTCTTCAGCTCTGTGTATACAAAGGAGCATGGGGGGTTCTTGTCCATAATGGGCGTGGTACTGACACCCCCCACATCATCCACATTGGCTCACAATTGATATGATCCAGAAATATTATAGAATAGAATAAAGGTGAATAAAGCCCGTGGACCGGATGGCATACACCCACGGGGCCTTACAGAATCCAGCTCTGTCATCTCACAGCCATTAAAACTAAAATAATGAAGTGCAGCGCTAAGAAGAATAAAAAGTCAATAGAGTGATAATCTGGTATCACAATGATAAACTGTAGAGGTACGGAATCCCACGGCTTCCACTTTATCAGAGTAACAGAAATGCGCACTCACCGGAAACGCATGGGTTATGCGCATGTGTGATTATGCATCACGGGCAATGGGAACATCAGAATCCAGGCAGCCAGGCGTCTCCCCTCACGGTGGGTCATCACAGACTCCTGTAACAGGTCCGGGGGATCCCCTTAAGGTAAGCCAGGTGTTCCCTTCTCCAGGAAAAAACCTCCTCTCAGGATGGCAAAAGTGCTTTCTCTATGGGAGTGAAAGCTCCAGATAGGAGCCCCAGAAAACAAATGCCCAAAATAGTGTAGTATGTTCAAAATCTCAGGTTTATTCATCAAAATAGCAGCAGGACAGTAAGCATATGGTACATCATGATATGTGAAGTGCATAGAGTAAACAGATGCAGTACTGACCCCCAGTGGTGTAAAACGCCGGGCCTCCTCGTGGCTCCGGCGGGTATATGACGTCACGCTCTGTGCAGTTCCTCCTTAGGCCTTTCGTGCTAAAGGCACATCATCAGAGGGGAGACAGCACAGCAGCGTGACCGACGCCAGTGTAAGAAATAGGGGAACTGGCACATGCGCAATGAGCCGCGGCCATTTTCCCGAAGACAAACGCGCACTGCGCATGCGCGAGCACGGCAGCGCCATTTTGCCGTGGATCCGCGATCTACCATGTAATGAGGAGGAGACAGAGAAGTCTCAATGTAAAAACCCAGACACGATTGTTAACTATGTCACAGACCCCAGGGAGTGAACTGTAAACAATATGTCACAGACCCCAGGGAATAAATAGTAGATGCTATACCTTTATAGGGAGTGAAAGTGCCAGTATCTGTAATATTAACAGTGCACAAAAATGAACTATGGGGTATAGAGATCCCCTCAGTGAATGGCATAAGCTATATAACGGACCACGGCAAGATGCAGGATACAAACGCATACATGCTACAAACTTTAGATATAAGGAAATAAGATGAGGATATAAAATTTTAAAACACAGATGTTAAATATATCGTGTATTGGATCTGGCAGAATAGTATATCTAATATCACAATACCAGACCCAGTCAGGATATCGAATAGAAGCCCCATAATAATGATATATGGAAACAACAGAAAATCAGGATAAAAAAGGGTAAAAAAAACCCAAAACACTTTAAAACCAGAAAAAAGTGAATAGAAAACCGTATACTCCTTCCTACGCCCGTCGCCCAAATAAACGCAAGAAACAGGGCGGGAGGGGGCAATTAATGATAAAAAAGACTGGTATAACAGTCAGAGTAGGTATATGATAAAATGCCAAATACTAGAAGTTTAAGCATATGGAAAAAAGTCTCCCATGATACATTTCAAACGCTAAAATGTTATACACATAGAAAAATGATATAAGCTTGGGAAAATAACTCTCATGCTGGAAATAAACCCAAGGTGATAGTCCAACATAAATAAAACATAATGTACAGAGAAAGCTCAAGTCACAATATATGATTAGATGAAAAATAAAAAATAAAAAATAAGAAATGAGACCGTCAGTTGTTAGCAATGAAGCAATTGACGTCTACCTCAATGTTGTGGCCCAGAGGATGTAAAGTTTGGAGCTCAAACACCCATTTGGTTTCGGCTTGGGAAACTGCCCTAGTTTTATTAATACCCCTCCAATGGTTACTGATTACATCAATCCCAATGAATTTGAGTGAAGAAGGGTCTTTATTATGGTGGAGGCGGTAGTGGTTTGATAATGAGTGCTCCCTGAAACCCTTCTTGATATTGGAGACGTGCTCGCGTAAACGGTCACGTAGACGTCTTGTTGTCCTGCCAATATATTGTTTTTGGCAGGGACATTGTAGTAAATACACTACAAATTTGCTATGACAAGAGATGAAATGTTTAATGTTATAAATTTTTCCAGTAACTGATGATTGGAATGTACTGATTTTCCTCTTTCTGGTATTGTCACACTTACAGATGATGCATTTATTGCAGGGGTGAAACCCTTTTAGATCCTTAAACAGAGAAATGTTATTAGGAGGATCCACAACATTTGGTGCAATCATGTGCCTAACAGCAGTTGCTTTCCGAAATACAATTTCCGGTTTCTCCGGTAGTATTGCTGTTAGAACCGGGTCCATTTTTAAAATACCCCAATTGTTATTCATTATTTTATTGATTGCCTTATATTGGGTTGAAAAGGATGTGA